GAGTTGTAAGTGGAGTGGTTCTCAAATCTTGGAAGCAAAATTCGGCATGGTTACTATGAGACCTGGATGCTAGCAAAATTCGACATGGTTGACCTGGATGTCATGGTGATGGAGCATTATCTTCATCATGTTCATCGTTGTGATGGAAAACTCGCCAAGGTGGAGATTGTTGGGATAGTGCGGCTCATTTTTCTATTTGTTTCCATGTAAAATTATATGTCTTTAGGAAAACTCTTTAGTAAAGAATACAATTCTAAATATGAATATAATTATGAATCCTATTAGGAATAGAATATTTTATATGCTACCTATAAATATAGGGGTAAGAACCAATTTAAGGTTATGAGAGAATATGAGAACACATGATATTTGATGTAAGAGTTATTAAACACCATGCGAGAGTGTCTTAAAAACTGGGATTGTTTCTACTCTAGGTATTAGGTTGAGCGTGATTGGAACTAGGATGTTTCCGCTTTGTTTTATGTACCAGGTTTATGGTATTTGTATATTATGTTCATGAAACTATAGTGGATTTCTCTCATCTGTGGATGTAGACAGGTTATGTCGAACCACTTGTGTCTCTTTGTGTGGTATGACTTTATTCCTATGTCATTAATCTCAACGATTTGTTTTCCATTGTGCGATCTCTTATCACATTATTTCTAACCACACATGCTGCATTTCCCTAAATTATTGGGATCGATGTTGATTTATTTTCTACCATTCTTGCTCTAACAATAGAGATGTAGGCATGTATCCCCAATTATGAAAGCTTCTATCTCGTATTATTGATTTATTGATGACTTTTTATTTTTTATGTTCTTATCTTCTATATATCAAATCGAAGATTGGAAATTACTTATATTTCTGTATCTAATGATTGTATACACTACTTGAGAAAAGAATTTGATCAATAAATGAATAAAACAAAGCCACAAGCCAATATTGAAACGACAAATCCATAGTTGACTTGTTCTAATAATTGAAGAGGAAGTGGACTCTGAAACAGACCAGTATTCGATCACTGTCTCAAGTGCTTTTCGATCTTTTTGACTTGAGTGGTGTATACAATTTAAAGAAATGGAAAAGACGCATTTAGATGTTTCTGAAATGGAGATTTCTGCTTTCTTGGACCCATGAATAACTCCTGATGAATATGAAAGTTTTAATGTTTCTGGACAGGCTCACCTGATATGAAAAAATTATTGATATATTCTGTTGATTTTCGTGTTAAGTGGCCACTGGCCACAGAACCATGCAAAGCAATTCTTCCTACACTGATAATTTGAAACTGGTGACAAAGCTTCAAGTGATGAGGTGACACGAGTTTTTTTCTAAGTTGAAACGGAAAACTTTAAGAATGAATATGGTTTGTTATGTTGTAGAGCAATAAGGTAGCCAATATTTGTAAAACTGTTGACTAGAAACTATTACTATTGGAGTTGTGGTTTAATTATTTAGACAAAAACACATGTCTGTTTATTCTAGATCAAATCGTTGCAGTTTCCATATGATTTTTTTTTTTTTTTTTAAAGGTAAATTTCATAAAAGAAAAGAAATTGTATAAAAAACTAAAGAATTACCCCCGAAAGAGGTTTAAAGAAGACCAAAACAAATGTTCATATTTTTTTGGAGTAACTGCCCAAAAGGGAGCACACAAGTTCCCAATAAAGAAGAAAGATAAGCACGGACGCCCTAACGGAGCTCACAGACTCAAACTAAACAAAAAAGAGAAGAGCATAGGCTCCGAACAAGAGTACACAAGCTTAGAACAAACAAGATCAATTAATCCTTGCAGTTTCCATAGATCTTAACCTAGAGAGTGGACATTATATGTTGCTATATGGGATTCGATATTGGATTGCCTGTATACTCGAATGAAATTTTGGGTTTAGAACTCAGAATATTAGAATGTGTGCGAAGTTCTCTTAAGCATGCAATTTCAACATACACAATCATCATCATTTTCTCTCCAACTTGCAATGATGCGTATCATCATTTAATTATCAATGTGTTATAAATAGTGTATATTTAAAGTTTGTATATAAAGTCTTGTATGGAAAATTACAAGAGAAAAAATAAATGTAAAACCGAAGATAAATCATCAATTCATTAAATATAGATGAATGGTATATAAATTGAAAGACAATTCCATGTTACTTTGTATACAGATTTTATATGTGTAATAGTACTTTTATGAAATAACCTTATTGGCCTCTACTATGAAGGCATAGAAATCGCAGTTTAAATATTTTTTAAATTACAATTTTGTCTTTAAATTAAATTAATAAACTTGCATTTTATTACTTCTAACCTACAAACATTTATGACACCTCTTACATGTACATAAACTCCAATTTCTTATATTGTTACTCAAACTTTACTTAGATAAATCTTTTTGAAAATATATAGATCTTATTGAAGAAGGAAGTTTTGTCAACAAGATATATCATGTTATCAACAATATAAAGTTATAAGTTTTAAATTACTTATCAATTTTCTCCTTTTTAACTTTTAATAAAAATCACCTATAAGAAATCTCGATTTCTAAACCTATGTTATCGATGAATGTTCTTATAAGGCTACGTACAACTACTCATTCAGACACATAAATACTTAAATTTCTATAATATGAACAAATTATTTATAAATATTGTTTTTTTTTTTCTTCTAATTTAAAATTATTTTCACCTCTCAATTTGAATACCTAAGATTTTATTATGGTAAGAAAAATGATAACGACTAAGTGAAGTTTATAAGATGCTTACCATTTTAGAAGCTGAAAGCCATCAGGTAGACAAGATGTAACTTCATTAACTATATTAATATGAAATTTAAGGGGTTTATTTTATTTCTTCTCTGTGACATGGCTTAAAATAAATCCATCACTTTATTTAAAAAGTATTAAATATCTCTTTATTAAGAGGGTTTTTAATATATTTTAAGGTGTTTTTTGATAATGTTAGGGGATTTTTACTATTTTTTTAACTAAACAAATGAGTTTAATACTAAGCAATTTTATGGGAGAAAATAACATAAACCCTAAATTTAAGATGACATTTTATAAATAGGGCTTGAAGATGTCCTATGCTTCTAAAAATGTGCCCAGCCCACACTTGGAAGAATATAAGCAGTAAATAAAGCCCCAGCCGGCCATATTACAGAAGTCCAAGTGGAAGCCCAAAAGTCATGTCAGTTGAATGTCAATCGTTCTGAAACTTTTGCATCAATTTGAACCGGGCCTAGCCTAACCCAATAACAAGAAGAAACCGAACCACTCGGTTCTACAGAAGTTAACGCTGAAATTCTTGCTGTAATTTGGGGATATTACAGACCCACCTTATAATTAACAAGAAAATATAAATAATAACGCGAAGTAAACATTAAATAGGAAAAAGATTATTGATATATATTACCAACCCAATAAAGATAGGCAGACCAACCTTTCTCACAAGTGCAACGTGACAGTTCGTCAGGCGAGACCCATTGTTGGATAAACATAATCTATTACGAGCAGACCAAGAACATAATATTACTCATTACCAACCGCACAGAGGAACTGATCACCGAACCAATGCGGCATCATAACCCATTGTGTGTTGCTCTAACCCAAATTATGTTTGGAATTTAACAGCGGTAGGTAAGCAGCATTGGTTATAGGCGTTATACTGAGTTTATATTATGGCAAGAGTTGGGCCACGAATCCCTGAATTGTTGGTTATGTATGTTGTATATAAAGCAACCATTTATGTTATTTGAATTGCAACGTTAAATACATCCTGTAATCGTAAACTAAATTCATTATTTATTTCATATCCAAAACTATGGTCCTAACTTTGGCCTCATTTCGTCCTTTCAATTCCCATTATGTACTACTCTTGAATCGTTTTTGTTGAATCTATGGTTAAGTAGTTTGGTACAATGAGAAGTGATTAGGGAGTCGACAGACAGCAGAGGTTACAGGAGCTTCAGTTTGCATATATTAATTTTATGAGTAGGTGAGCACTTAATTTCATGAGGCAGAGAGAGCATGTTACTTTGGAATCATTGGGATTCCTTGTTTAGTTATATTCACTCTACATAACCTTTTAACAGATTGAAAGGGAGAAGAAAGGAATCTGCTAAAGGACCTGGTGGGTTTGATTCCTGAATTGCAAAACACGAGAGGATAAGCAGTAAGAGATGATCACTTTTGTTTTGTTGTGTCGGGTCCATGGTGAATAATTTGGAACAAATTTGTCTTAATTTTACTGTTGTTTGAGCTATTCAGTGTGCTAGGAATCAATCTTTAGAACATTGATAAAAGAATATAAATTAGGTAAATAAACTTTAGTTTCTCCATTATTCCAATGAGAATTTGATGTAGAACATCTAACAGATGAGTTCCTAGAGAGAGTCAGGCATTTAAAGTCCAAACGCGGGCATACTAACTTAAAACAACCATAACTTTTGATTCGAAAGGAGTTCTGAGACTCATTATATATCAGCGGAAAGCACGTTCTAAGCCCGCCGACATGTTAATCGAGTTGCCTTGTTGGGGGTCATTTCCCAGCCCAAAACCCATTGTTTTGGTGTGTTTCGGGGCCATTTAATTTTTCTGTGTGTTTTTCCTATTTAATTTAGAGGATTTTTTTTAATTAATATGGATTTTTTTTTTTTTTTTTGTTGGGAGTCTTGTTAGGGTTGGCTGTCACCACCCTGTATAAACATATTATTATTTTTTTTAAGATAAGCAATGATTATTCAAATTTTATTTCAAACTTTATGATCTAAGTTTCTGTCATTGAGACTTATTTATCGATTTTAAATGTATAGTTGAGTGCTAGCCTTGTTATTACACTAACTGGCTCGTTAGAATTAGTAAATCGCTTGTTAGAATTGCATGGTTAACATGGTGATTGGACTTGTAGATTTAATACAAAGTGGTTAATCTGTTTGGACATATATAGCAAAGAAGTTTACATACGATCAAATATCCACAAAATAATGAAGAATTAATGTGGGAAACAAAAACACCCTATAAACTTTTTATAGACAGATAATGAATCAGTACGTTATTATGTTCCTCACTTTGCACTCATAATGCTTGCAGCTCATTTGCCATAAGCTTTTCCTGAGAAACACACTCAATCAAATGATGCAGAAACATCCAAAACAAAAAATTTTTTAAAAAAAAATGCCCTCTACATGGTGGTTTCTTCAATACAGAACTCCTTTTAGTGACACTGGAACGAGAACGAAAATCTGTCAGGAAATTATAGCATTTTCTATATAATTAAAATTTCGCTTTTGTTGGTCATTTCCTGTTGGTGCTTGCATTATTGTATGAAGTCTGCATAGTTATCTGGTTTCCAGTCACAATGGTGAGGAGAGATGCACTGTTAGTACCTGTTTCCATGAGGCTGCACCCACAAAAAGCAACCGTGTGAATTCACATATATGCTTTCTTTCTAATGTATTTCTTTTCTCTTCAGTTCATAATTTAACTAGCACAGAGATTTCGGAATATTTAAACTCACATCATATGCAACAACTGATCTGCAGTAGTTGGTGTTTGTAAGCACTGTACTTGTGGATCCACACTCACTGTCTTTAAGCGAGACTGATGACCTGTCAAGCTTAATTGACCATGGATATTGGTAATTTTGAGCTGTCATACCCACATGTGAAGATGACCTTTGCATCCGCATAGACCTTGGAATATTTCTTCCTTCAATGGATGGCCTTCGCCGGCTTGGTTGCCTCTCATATGAATCTGGCCTTGACTTCGGCGCACTCTGAGACCGAACTTTGGCTCTTGAAGATTCTGTATTAGCCATGTAATTGGGAAATAATGGGTAGTCATAGGACAAAGATTCAGCATCATCTGTCCTAGGGAAGGCAAAAGGAACTCTTGATGGATCGGGTTTGGATATAGCAGAATAGTACTGTGGACTACTTTGCGCCGTGCTAAAAGAGTGGTCCTCAAAATGACCACTGCAGACTCTGGGGCTCATGTCAGTCAGAGCTGATGGAGCTGGAGAAACCTGGTAATTATCTTGCTTGGAATATGCGCGATGTGAAGCATAATGTGTGGAGTATCTGTGTTCTGTTCTTTCACTTTGTGGATGGTTTGAGTAGCTATTTCTGCTCTTTGAACATCCGTTTAATTCACCATGATCAATCTCTACTATCTTAATGTTCTCTTCCATGCCTCTATCAATCTCCTACATGTACAAAAAGCCAGATCCCAGATAAATTTTTACCATGTCGGTGCATAATTAATTAAGAGCAGAAGAGAAAGAAACACTAGTACTGTTTAATCAACAAATGAAAGTATCACTAGTATTTTCCGATAATAACTAGATTGGAAGGAAATATTAAGAGAAGAATTTAGACCTTAATAATGAAAAGAATTAGTATGTGTTCAATTTCAATAATATAAGGTGATTTGATTCTCATTCTGCATTAGAGTGCATCAAGAATGCAGGAAACTTCGCTTTTACAGCAAAGAGGATCCATTTGTGAGTGGGAAATAATATTTTGGGAGGAGAAATAAAACTTACCGGATATGTATGCCTCAACCAATTGTCCTGAGTTGATTTTCTGTGGATTGATTGCCTCTGATTAACCTGATCTGTATCTTCACCCATACGGACTCTCTGCGCGAGAGCTCTAGCCTGTACTGTCACCAATGCCTGCATGCACCGGAGGGTAGCTGTGGCCTGTTTTCTCACCAGGTGTCCCCTTACCAATGCCTGCAACTTCACTAATCCTTTCAATGCACACAGTGCTTTTCTTGCCTGAAAAAAACACCAATTCATACTATTTACATTTTCATCTCTGCAACGTTCGGATCTTGAAAATAAGGAATTTAAGAGTTACAAACCAAATAAGCACGGAAAAAGGATTGAATCTTTAAGGCCGAGGCCTCTTCAATTGCGCTGGCTCTCCCATTGGCAGCAGCTGTTAGCCTGATCACAGCAGCCGCAGCCTGTGCAGCTGCCACAGCTGCATCAGCTGCTGCTGCCGTGGCTGCAGCCACAGCCATAGCATGCTTTTTCTGCTCATCTTCTTTGTCTATTATAGCTTGCATAGGCGGCGGAGTAGTGGGAGCAATTTGTTCTGCAGAATTTAAGTCCTTGGGAGTTGCTGCAGTGGCCGAAGATCTTCGGAAGCTCCATCTCCGCTTTTCTTTTGGAGTTGTCGGTAGGATTGAAGTTGGAGTTGCTGGATTTTCAATGGCAGCAGTAGTTTGATTACTCGTAAATTTCTCCTTGTCTCTGTCTTTCTTCCCTGTCAAGAAACTTTTAAGCCATTTTCCTGTCTTCCCCATCTCTATCAAAACCTTCAAAGCTTATTGCATGTGCATTCTATCACAGGAGAAAATAGAGAGAAGATAGTTACAGTTGATATGTAGATCTCCCCAGTCTTTGTTCCATATGTAGCTATCAACATTATAATTGTCTGTCTTATTAGATCAGGAATTAATTGCTCTTCTTTGACAGCTTGATCGTTACTGTTCCATTATTCCATAAAGTAAAAAAAAGAAATTAAGGCCAGCATGATAGAACAGAAACAAGAAGGAAGTTCCCATATAAGCCACCTGCCATATCCTGGAAGATAAATGGGCAAAGATTCCTTGCTTTTGATGAACTTCTTCAGCTATCCTTCTTATCTTTACAGTACAATCTCATTTCTGATATTGCCAAAATTTCAACAAGGATACTATGGTAATTATATAGTTTTTCGGCGAGATGAGAGTTTGGTATTGGTTAACGTGGGCTGGAGGAGTTCAGAAACCATGTGCAAATGGGTCATGAACATGTAGAACCCTTGTAAAATACTCATTTTTTCAAGATGCAAATGCCGTCCACTTGGGGTCAGGAATTTATAACTAGTAAAAACGTTTGGGGTTGTGCTGTGGGCTCCAAAGAGAAAAATATACAAATAGGGGCGTGTTGGGATGTGCACATGCTCATTTTATCCTTGATATTCTAAGCCCTCGTGAAAAATCAAGATCACCTCTTTCTATTTTATGATCTCCTGGAATCTGATAAAACTTGGGTCCAATTTGAAGTGGGCATGAAAGCAGTTGTTGGGGAGGCAGGTTGATTAATGCAAATTACTAGCTGTTCTTGCTTATAATGAAAGGCCTATTGGCAATGGTAAGGACCACTAACGAGTATAGCTCATTTTTTGTTAGGTAGATAAGGTTTCATCAACTCAAGGAAAAAAACTGATTTTAAAAGACATTCATTTATCATTTTGATATAGACCCGTCTACTGTTTCAAGTTTAGAAAACTATTGAAGCTTTAATGATTCAGATTTCGATTACAAAGAGGCAATAGAAGAACAACCACAACCCAATCCTATAAATTTTTTCTTATAATCTTGATGTGACAGTTCGTAATTAGATAGACGAGACCCATAGCGAACAGACATAACTCATTTATGAGTTGATTAATTATGAGCTATCATGTTGGAATTATGAGAAAAAATTTATGAGATTAGGTTATAACTTATAAGTGTAGTAAAAAATTTAAACTTCAATTTATGCCCAATTTATATTTCAAAAAAGAATGGATGAATAAGAGGAGTTGAGTGAGTGAGTGCATGAACAGAGTGAATTAATGAGATTTGGGTCCATCTTAACCATAATAAATTAATTTTATTAAATTATATAAAGGATTAGCTGGCATTCACATGGTGTGTTTATTTGCTCCCCTTTGACCAAGTGTTTGGTTCAGGGAAACACCACGCAGACTGGGGTTTGTCTAATTAAAATCCTTAAATGCCACATACTAGAATGAGGAAAATATTACGAAAAGAGTACACTAAATTCATTCGTAGCATAATTTTGATTGTTGATTAATTATGAGTTAATATTAATTAATAATCAGGATTATATCACGTTATTTGATGCAGAAATCCAATATACTTTTTTTTGGTAAATGTAACATTACTCTTAATATTATCACCCAAAATTATGAAAAGGCTGTGATAATTATTCAGTCTAATGATTTGCCCAATTAGGATTAAATCACAGAGATATATTAATTAGGGATCGGTCACAAATTAAGTGAAAAACATTCTGTTACAGAGCAGTAATATTAATCATATCTCAATAATTCAGCTGACATGTTTATGACAATGTTATTTATTAAATGTACCACCCTCAAGCTTTGAAAATTATCAACTGAATGCCATGTTAAGATATATTCTTCAAAACCACCCCTAACATTTTATAAATTATTAAAATAACCACATCTGTTACTAGATTTGCTCATTTTCATATCTATTTTACCCTTCTTATGATTTACTAAAATTAACCCCCCCTTTTTTTTTTCCTTTTCTTCTTGTCTTAACCCTATCTCTCTTTCACATCAAAATTAATCTCTACATCTAAAAACACAATGACATAAGCTGGCGGCCAAGCCTTCGCGGGCAACACCAACTTGGCCACAACTGGCTTTCACTTGAGGCCCTAATATGGTCGTGTCATAGCTTTTGTTTGTTGGCGATCGTCCGGTGATGTATGGTAACTCAAGTATGTCATTTAATTTGTTGGGGAGAATGAGAGAGTGGGAAGGTGGTGAAGAGTGAGAGACAAGAGTAAAATTTCTATTTTATTACCCATAAAAAATAACATGAAATTATAGTTTTAATCTTTCACCGTTAATTTGTTTTTGGATGGCATCAAGTATCGGATAGTTCTAGACTAATTTTAAAAACTTTAGGGATGGTTTTTAATAATGTACTGAAATTAGCATGTAGCTTAGAATTGTTAAAAACCTGGAGGGTGGTTATAAAATTAAGAAGAATCGGTTACTAAAAATGTGTAATAGGTACATAATTGAAATGCGGCCTCAGCACATGAAATAGAAAACAATAAATTTGTGCATGCATGTGAAGGTAAGTAGGCTGTATGGTCTTTTTGTCAGTACGTATACCTCACTCATGCACTTTATTTTATTTATCTCAAATCAATTTCTCTTTCTTGGCTGTCCTCTCATGTGCTCTTTAATTTTGGCGCAAATGAACTGGGTTTTTATATAAAATTATTAAATGTACATGGTTTGGTACAAACTAGTTACGAGTTTGGAAGAGGGGGATTATTTAATTATATAGTCCATGGATAAATTTACGTAAACAGGTGGACCATCGTCATCTTTTTATTAACAAATACATATTTTGGCATGATTTACAGCTTCCATGCAATATAACTCTGTCGAGCACTTTTGACCCTACTATCAGTAATCCCGAACTCATTCCTTGTTATAAGTTAGTTCGTTTTTGTTAAGTTCCCTGTATTTGTAAGCATTATCGTTCGCTTAGCGGTTCGAGCTTATCCTGTTCGCTTGTAATACACGATAACATTGCCTATGTATTTGAACTAAAATTGCGAACAGGTACATATGTATGAAAAAGCGAGTTGTAATTAAAAACAAATGTATTTCCATTGTATGTACAAGCAAAAATTAAGCCCACTTCAATGGAGCAAGGCCTATTGCACTACGGCTGGTCGGGGGGATCTTTGAAGCAGAACTCGAACCCCTGTTTGGTCGACCCCTTGGCGGTTGCCGCTGCTGCTACTTGTCCTCCTCTACCAAGAGCCGCAAGGTCTCTTGCCAACCTGGTGGAGGACGGACACGTCTAGACCCGGGTCATTGGTCACAGTGTGTAAATGGCCCCGATCGCCCAGTGAAGGCTTTCCTTGTTTCCTCTAACTGAACCCGCACTCCTCAGTCAGCGAAGCGACCTTTTCCTGACTTCTTGGAGTTCGGCCTCGAGAGCTCGCTTCTCCTATTCGGAGGGCTCCCTTTCCTGCCAGCCTTCTGGGCCCATTTGGAGGTCATCTGAATCACTTGGTCCTTCTCCCCGACCTCCTTAGAGAGCTGGCGGTTGCCTTTGCGACTCCACTTCCTCCGGCGTCGCTCGATCCGCCTTGGAAGTCCCACGTTCGCAAACGGCATCCTTTTGCATCAGGTACCTGTTCGCCGCATTGAATGCCTCCTTCCTTTCAGCTCGGCAGACTCAGGCTTTTCTTAAGCTTCGTGTTCGTCTTGCTCGCGGACTCCTTCGCGGCTCCCAGCCGAGTCCTTCCATGGACATCCTCATCGCAAGTAGAGCCTGCGAGCAAGAAATGGTTAGAAATGAACCAGAACAAAGTTATAAGAGAAGCTCGTTACTTGCTTAGATGCTGGAACGACGTGGTCATAAGGTCGTCGCCCGTGTCAGCGAACTCATCGTAAGAATGCGATAATCCACACTCAAGCAGAGAAGACTATCGGGTGCAGATACTCGGGCAGGCCCCCAACGAGTAGCACTGGCATGTCCGTCGCCTATCGGTGGTGGTCGCCTCGCAGCAGGTTCCTTGCCCGACTCTTTGGAGTCCTCGCGACCTCAAGGGCTCCTCCTCGGTTTCGGTCTCAGACTCTTCGGTAAACCTGCTTCTTTCTTCGACTTTTGAGCCAAAGCCTTCCGCTTTGGGCTAGCTGATGGTGCCTGAGCGACCTGCTCCACTGGTCGTCCCTTGCACGGGTTGGGGCCGTGAGGGTGCGACAGCTGTGCCGGTTGTGCCAGGGTAGTACGAGCAGCTTCGGTCGCCCTCTCACTCCTCGATCCAGGGAAGACGAAGCGAGGCTGCCCGGACTCCTTTGGAGGCATAACTTCTGCGGGAAAGTGCGTTAGTAAACGAAATATTCAGTGACCAGAAAGAAAACTATTGTAGCTTACCTTCTACAAGGGTTTTAAAGACGCGTTGCTATTGATAAAACCGTACTTCCGCAGGTTTGCAATAGTCACTAGTTTCCTCGCGTTCGGCTTTCCTCGGGCAGCACTCCAAAAGATACAAGTCTGTCCAGGTCGTTGAGCAAGTCTTGGCTGGTCGTTCTATTGACTGCAAAAGAAGAGACAGGTCGTTATCATAACGCATGCGAACAGTTAATATACCTAACGAAGATGAACCTACTGCGTCTGGAAGTGGCAGTAGCGTCATAGCAAGAAAAAGAAGAATGGTCTCGTAGGCTCCCGCGTTGCTGGGATAGCTATGTATCCCCTCGGCAATTGTAGGTCGCCGGGACAAGTAATACGAATCCTTGTCCCTACTCTTTTTGAGATAATAAGCGACACCGAGCTCCACCGCCACGGCTGCCCAAGCCGCTCCGCAGCACGCGATGTATATCTTACGGCGATGACATATGCGTCGTGTGGAGCTGCATCGGTGCGATCCCGAAGTGATCCAGGACCGACTGATGAAAGGATGGAAAGGAATCATCCTCACCCTTGAAGATTCTTCGAAGATCGCAGCAAGACCGTCGGCTGGATGTCGCGACGACTGGTGTGGTCGAGGAACACCTCGCTCAGACGTTTTACTGTTTTTAATCCTATCAAATTCTTCTGGGTGAGAACCGAGAAGACTTCAAGGACGCGTCCGCGGGACTTCCCGCGTGGACGAGCTGGTTCCTTCCTGGGTTGGCGTTGACGGATCCATTGGAGTCTGCAACATCGACAGACACGGTCATTTAATCTTCGTGTTTTGCCCCGTGCGGCGGCAAGGGACAAACTCCTAAAACCCTAATAGTA